AAATTGAATAAAAAATAAATTTAAGAATAGGAGATTAACATTTTTTTATTAAAATATAATAATTTGCCAATTTATATAATTATCAGATAGAAGGGTAATGCATGACTCTTTGGCATATAAGAAATATATTTTGGTAATTTCATATATTTAGAGTTATTATTTTAAGCATAAGTTAATTGAATTAAAATTAAATATTACTCTAGAATTTTGTATATTTTCATTTTTACAAATGCAGTTTTATTTTGACAAAATAGTAAAGTAATAGAAACAATTTATGTATTATTGTTTCATTCATTATATTAGTTTAGTCTACACAAAAACTTCATTATGAAATATTATTTTAATAAAAGATGAGAAAAAATGTTTAATTCTGGAAACGAAATTAAATTTTATTCAGAAATATTTTTATTCTTTTATAAGAATTTCATCAGCTGTGAAAATTATCAAGTACATATTCCAATTAACTTTTGTGACTCTTTTCTTAGAAGAAGCAATCTTACATTTTCTAATTGTTAGAACTTTTAATTTATGTTTCAAGAATTGAAACTAAGAAATTGGAATATATGAGGGCAGTTTCTTACCAAAAGTGTGGTAAGTGGTAAGTTTAAAAGATATAGTTAAGAAAGAAATGAATTATTTCTTAGAGCAAAAAATACAAGGAGCATATCTTAAAAAGGTTGTCAATGCTCTAATGACAGTACGTCCAACTAGTATTGATTCCAAGAGAGCTTTTTCTAGTGCAGCTGCCATTTGTACAAAAATTAGATCTAGATTAGATGAAAAGAGCCTAAATGTATTGTTTTTTTAAGAGCCTACTTTCAAAATAAAGAAAAACATAATTAATTATCAGAATTATTTCAATGTCTGTTATGTCATAATAATTGCTATTACAAGAATGTTGTTTGTCTAAACCAGGGCTTCTTAAACTTTTTTATTCACAACCCCATTTATGATTGTGATTTTTTTGTGACTCAGAAAATATAAAATAAAGATATACACAAATTTGCAAAAACAATAATGGTGTACTACCACAGTTCACACTTGTGTTACAATGGAAAAGAGACAACTGAATACACTGAAAAGCGACAATACTACACTAGTTTACACTACAGTGTTGCTGAATCGTTGTCTCTCTGCACCAGAAGTGACACAAAGCGCAACTCACGAAACCTATGACACAAAGTGTGTCATTTTTAAACTCTCACAAATTATTTTCAATATTTTGCATTAAAATCTCATGACCCCAAGATTTTGCTAAGCAACCCCAAATGGGATAGCGACCCATAGTTTAAGAAGCCCTGGTCTAAATTGATAGAAAACTTGAAAATAAATGGTTGTCCAATAATTCTGTCAGTAATTCAGTTTCGTTTTAAATAATTTGTTAATACGAATTTACCGGTAAATTACTGATAAACTGGTAATCCCAAATATAATTACTGAATTACCGGTAATGTAATACCTGGCAAATTTGCAGTCACTAGTTGGTATAGATATGGAATATGTTGGAATTACATAGAGAAATATAATTTGTAGAGTAAATTAGAGACATTCAGACTAATAAAGATAACAGCTCAAATGCATAGGCTTTCTATGCATTTGAGCTTTATCTTTATCTTATTCTTTATAGCTATCTTGAAGAAAACAGACATTTTTATGAAATAACATCCAAATTGCCTTGATCTTAGGATAGCCATTAAACTGCTGAATTTGTTTTGATATTGGAAGAACTTTAAAGCAAGTACAGAAATTCAGACTATCTTCTTTCAACATGGGAATGGTTAATTTCTAAAAAAATTATAAATAAGTTAAACTAATTATGAACTTCTCTAAAGGTTTTAAATGTATGTATTATTATGTCATGATTATGTCATTGATTTATTTTAGTGTAACCACAGAAACAAAACTGATTATGCTTTTTTCTTAAGTAACTGGGTTTTATTTTCAAATTTGTTTCTGATTATGATTATTTAATACTTAGAAACATATAAACTGTTTTGGTAAGCTATTTTAATCCATTAAAGTGTTTTTTTAATAATTATTGCAGATTGTGATCTTATAAATTATTATAAATGTGTCATAATGATTGTCATCCAATCCAATGAGATTACAATCAAACTTTGGGTTTCAAATGCCTCTGTATGAACAATTTGGTTTACAAACAAAATTTTGAACACCATATTTGCCCTGGTTGTTGTTTGATAACTCGGTTGCTGAACAAGCTACACAGCAAGAGCTGTCCACAGATAGTCAACTTCTTATACTTCTTGTGTTAAAGAAACTCAATGGAACTACCAATTCAGAAGCTAGTGGCACTGAGATCACCTCATGTCATTAGATTGCAACACAGATCAATGATGTAGTTATTGGGCTGCAATTTCAAAAAATTGTAGACCTATAAATCCCACTGTCATCTATCCATTCGTCTATCTGTCTTCACTTAATCTCGAGAACGGAGTTAGATGAAAGACGAGACCAGATATGGAAAGCTTAGGGGCAGGAGGCCCCAGTTAATTGTATAAGAACTTCCAATGCAAACTGGAAGTCACGTTATTTCAATTAAAAAATTTTTCCCTGTAAGGTGTTAGATAGACACAGAGCCGGATTTGAGGCGATTGGAGCGATTTGTGCCAATTGGGCCCTATGCTTGAAGGGGCCCCGCAGCACATCAAAATTTATATATTCAAAAATAGTACATGTTACAAAAATAAATATCTAGGTATATTATTATTANCTAACCGACGCTCCACAGTGTACCCGAGGAAGGCCTATTAAGAAGGCCAAAAACGTTTGTACTCCAGTTAATAAGGCTAGAAATTAGTGAGAAAGGTTTTGTGCTGTTAGTCTTAGAAATAGTTCTAGCTACATATGCATAGTAGTATAATATGGTAATTAAAGAGTGTTACTATTATCTACTGCTGATCAACTATTATCAGCAGTAATATTTAAAAGCAAGGTTTAACTTTTAAAGTCATCTTTAAAACTGTATATTATAATCATTTAGTTCTGTTAATTAAGCATTTAAATTTGGAATGCCTCAATAGCATAACTGATAACATGCCTACTTACATTTTTGGAATTGCAGGCTCAAGCACTGTCTAAACTAATTTCTGTTTTAGTCATTTCTGAATTATCAATGCAAGTTATTTTAAATTAATTATTTGTTAAAACTTATGAAGTAATAGTTTTTCTTGATATTTCAACTGACAAATTTTTATTATTTATTTCAGTAGTAGCATAGAAGTAGTTCAGTAAACTCAGATAATTGATTATCATTTAGCTTAATATTTAACTACTTTACATTTTTAGTTATAATTAAAATTTTTGTTTAGACACCACAGCAACTTGCATCAACAGGACAAGAACGTTTTACATTAGAAAAACAAAGAGACAACCAGTAAGTAAAGTTTTGTGTATAATAGTCTTTAATAAACAATATAAGATGACATAACAATCATAGAATTTAGCTTGCCATCATAAAACATAGCCATCAAAAGAATTTAGCTTGAAATATATTTCAAGATTTTATTTTTTTATTTACAGAAGATGAGTATAAAATCTCAAAAATGTTTTTCAGAATAAATTTTTTTGACTTTTATCATTGCTGTGTGTTTTATTATTCAAAATAGNTCTCACATTCTAAAAGATGAGGGGAAAAAATGCTTGAATCTGGAAACAATCATTTATAAGAACATCATCAGCTGTGAAAATTATCAAGTGTGTTAGAATGAATGTATTTGAAAGAGAGATGACTGTTTAAAATTTTTCAAATTTAAAATTACAAGGAAAGAATGCTTGAATCTGGAAACATTCTTTTATAAGAATTTCATCAGCTGTGAAAATTATCAAGTACCATAAAATGAATACATTTGAAAGTGAGAACATGTTTATGCTCAAGCTTTTTCAGATTTATAATTACAGGAAAATTATAGTTATACAAAAAAATTAATAAAATCAAGTAAAGTTAGAGTAAATAAAACAAGAAATAAACAAATTGAATTAAATATAATAGTGTAATGTTAAATGCAGACTCGCAGCTACCCACACTACATGACCTTCAACAGACACTCTCTTTAAGTATTGACACTTCTAGGTAAAGTTGGAAAGGACTTTTTATATAAAAAACTTATAAAAAGTCTAAAATGGCAGTCCAGCCTACTATCTGAGATAAGTTAATTAGTCTATTGTTAATTAAATCGGCACTGCACTACACTGGGATAGAATAATCAAAAAACAGGTTCATTGTACGTTGTTTTTTGATTAGTCTATTGTTATTTTATTAAAAATATTAAAGTTAATGTAAAGTAAATTAAATTTCACTCTGACACTGGGGATGAAATACTAAATAGGGAACCTGTTACCGGTGTAATTTTGCGTGAAAAAAATCTTCCTTTCATTTTTTCACGCAAAATTATACCGGTAACAGGTTCCATATTTAATAGTTAATGTAAATTTATTTTTGTTACTATCAGTAATTTTTATGATAATAATGACTATAATTACCACACTACCTATCTTTATGATTTTTTTGTTTGGAAATATTATGATTTGTTTTCAAAATTTTATTTATGTTTATTGTTTAAATGTACAGGTAACCCCCGTATAACACGGCACTTCTATAACTCGGATTCGCTCTAACACGGTTCGAGAATTGCGTAAAACCCTTGTACAACATGAAATGTAATAAATTTTTACATACTTAAGTAATAATAGTTCACGAAAATTATTATTTTCGTGAACTATTATTACTTAAGTATGTAAATTTTCTNATAGAAAGATAGACAGAATTATTGTTACATTGGATCTTACATATTTTAAATAATTTAGGTTATTTTTATATTTTGGACATAACATTAATCTATTGATATTAATAGCAAAGTTGTCCTTCTTAACAGAGGAGGGTGAGTAATGAATGATTTAAGATAATGGTCATATATATATATATATATATATAATTTGTATTAGTATTGTAAATAAAACAAATGATTTTTTTCTTGTTTTAGGTCATTTCATATTTCTGGAATGGATGATCTTATTATATATTTGGCTGTAACTGATGAACATAAACAATTTTGTTTTCATGTATTAGAAATAATTTCTTTGTTACTTCGAGAACAGGTGATTCTAAAATAATAAAAGTTGAAATATAAAGATAAGTCTTATTAGTAAGTTGATAGAATCAGTGTAATATCAAGACAATCATTAGTAGAATTTTTCAGGGTATTAGAAATTTTTCATTATAAGGAATTTGAAAGTTTGAAAGTTCATTAATTTTTAAAATAAAATATTAAAAATTTGGAATGTTATCAAGTAGAGATTAATAATTGCCTATTAAATTATTTGATTTTATATAGTAATAATCTAGAAATAAATATACTTGATTGAAATTTAAACTGAAATTCTTGTCCATGAGTTGAGCATATTTTCACTATCCTTAAATCACAAAAGCAACATTGCATAATAAAATGATAATTAAATTAAACATTAATAAATATTAAGTACTTTAGTCTACTTGTTTAGGCTTTGTTTGTTTGTTTACATTGAACTCAAGAAGACAGACCATTCCAAAAGAATGCTATTTACATTTAAAATTTAAATAAATATTTTTGGAATGTTTGTTGAAGAAAACATTGAATTCAATCATTCTAAATTAATTTATATATACATTTGTATATGTGTAATAAGAGAATATGATTATATTAATTTTTATGCTATGACTAAATTAATATGGTAATTAGACTAACAGCACAAAACCTTTCTCACNCGGGTAAGACGACACCTGGGTAAACATTGGCAGCATTTAAACTTCTTCTAACCGACGCTCCACAGTGTACCCGAGGAAGGCCTATTAAGAAGGCCAAAAACGTTTGTACTCCAGTTAATAAGGCTAGAAATTAGTGAGAAAGGTTTTGTGCTGTTAGTCTTAGAAATAGTTCTAGCTACATATGCATAGTAGTATAATATGGTAATTAAAGAGTGTTACTATTATCTACTGCTGATCAACTATTATCAGCAGTAATATTTAAAAGCAAGGTTTAACTTTTAAAGTCATCTTTAAAACTGTATATTATAATCATTTAGTTCTGTTAATTAAGCATTTAAATTTGGAATGCCTCAATAGCATAACTGATAACATGCCTACTTACATTTTTGGAATTGCAGGCTCAAGCACTGTCTAAACTAATTTCTGTTTTAGTCATTTCTGAATTATCAATGCAAGTTATTTTAAATTAATTATTTGTTAAAACTTATGAAGTAATAGTTTTTCTTGATATTTCAACTGACAAATTTTTATTATTTATTTCAGTAGTAGCATAGAAGTAGTTCAGTAAACTCAGATAATTGATTATCATTTAGCTTAATATTTAACTACTTTACATTTTTAGTTATAATTAAAATTTTTGTTTAGACACCACAGCAACTTGCATCAACAGGACAAGAACGTTTTACATTAGAAAAACAAAGAGACAACCAGTAAGTAAAGTTTTGTGTATAATAGTCTTTAATAAACAATATAAGATGACATAACAATCATAGAATTTAGCTTGCCATCATAAAACATAGCCATCAAAAGAATTTAGCTTGAAATATATTTCAAGATTTTATTTTTTTATTTACAGAAGATGAGTATAAAATCTCAAAAATGTTTTTCAGAATAAATTTTTTTGACTTTTATCATTGCTGTGTGTTTTATTATTCAAAATAGAAAACAATTATTTAAATCTGGCCAAATTACTTTTCTCTTGATTAATCATAATTATTTTATTAATATTGATAAAGTAAATCTTTAGATGGATTTATTTTTTTATATGGCTATTAATAAAAATATGATATTAAAATATATACTAAGTTTTAATTAATATTTAATTTATTTTGTTTTTTGATGTTATTTGTATAGTTACTTGAAAATATTAATTTTTCATAACTACCTGACTTTAATGTATATCACATTATAATGTATTGTTTATTGGTTATTAACATTATTTAATTATTACATAATTTAGTGTTAAACATAGATGAGTTGTAATTCATTGACAATTTTAATAATTGAATGACTAGAATAATTTAAATTAATTAAATTTTAAAAGTCTGAAAGGCAATGAGCCAGAAAGAAATTAAAATGTACAGTTTTTGCTTAGATCTATAATTTTCTTGTATTTTACATAACTTAATTTTTCAATTATTTTAAATATGGAATCTAATTTAATTGTTAATATGTAAATAATGTTGTATGACGTGAACAATTTTTAAATGATCAAACATTTTCAATTGCTTAAAAACATTTCTTTTAAAATTTTTTATAATAAATAATTTAAATATAGTATTTAACAAATTCACTCATAAACATGATAAAATTTTAAAAAATCTATAGCCTACAAAGTAAAGAAACATTTACTTTGTATTATTTTTTGTTGAATTTGTAAATTTAATCATTAATTTATATTTTGTTTATTTAATATTTGAATTGTTTTATCAATTTAAAATGATAAATTTAATGAAATTTTTTTAGAGAACTTTTGAAGTTAAGAAAACAAGAATTTCTACGAAAACAAGCAAGTGTAAAGCTACAAACTTCTAGGTTAGCTTTAAATAATTTATTGTATTACTGTAATTTAAAATGATTACTAGAATTGCCCTGTTATGAAGTTAAATGTGCACCAGAATCAAAAGAAAAATCCAGGAATGAGTTGCATAACTTTTCCAGTGAAAAATATGTTTAAGAAATAATAAAACACATTTGCACAAATGTAAAATTGTGTGTGGCACCATCTCTTATGAGATTTTAGTAAAAAATAACATTTTTATATTATTAATTATTATAAAAAGACAATAGACTTAATTTTGAGGATGGAGATGAGTTTAAAAAAAATGTAAATATCAATAATGAGTAAAATTTTCATTCAGTTCGATCCCATTGACAATCTGAAGTATGACCCCTTTCTATCTCCCTACCCCCTTGATCTTTAACACTAAAATATAATAGCACCAATGTCTCTTATATACAAGCTACCTTGTCAAATTTCATTTCTTAATCTTTACCTCATCCTGAGAATTTTTTTTTTGGTTCAGGGTGTCTCAAAATGTTAAGATTTGCAAAATACCCAGAGTCAAATTTGACACAATTACAATATTATGTTATAGTAGTCATGAAAGTACAGTAGAACCTCGAAAACTCGGCTCTCGATAACCCGGCACTCCGGATAACTCAGCCACACCCTGGCAGGGCAAAAAAATCCTTACTTAATTAACTTTTATTATAGACAGCTTTATAAAAGTATAAAAGCTCTCATAAAGTATTTTTCTGAGGTCTGTCTTATCAGATAAATTACTGTACACAGTGTATTCATTAATTTTCATTTTCATGTAGTAAAGGCTCTATGCCTTCATAAAGTACGTACTTTCCCTTTGTTTAAGGGTATTTGGGCAGTTTATTCTCTGTTATATACTCAAGTAAACAATACATACAAGTACAGTACAGTATTTTCTGAGGAAACACTCGTACTTATTTTTTTTAACCCCATTCCGGATAACCCGGCATTTTCACAAACTCGGCCACCCTTCGGTCCACATTAGGCCGCGTTTTCGAGGTTCTACTGTAATCCATGTTATATTATAAACAGTCTGTAAAGTAAAATATTAATAATTATTTGCTTTTTATCCAATATTGTAATAAATCTTCTTAATAGCTATATGCAATTTGCAATAAATTTTAAGGACTTAACACACCACAATTTTCAAATGGAAAGCTCACTGAGATTTTATTAAACCAATTGAAAGCTTTAGTATGATTGATAAGTCCTTAAAATTTATAGAAAATTACATATAGCTATTCAGAAGATTTAGTAAAATATCTAGTTTGTTTTTGATTAAATATAATTTTAAAACATATTTTAAAATGAGACACTTGCTTATCTATCAATTGTTCAATCTTTATACTTTTTTTACACACACCAATTATATAATTGACCTTAATTTATTTTATCCATTTAAATTTTGTATAATCAAAAATTATAGTGTAATAAGGATTGTAATATTCTAATGCTACTATGATATTACAATTGTTATTAGTTAGAAACTGTATAAAAAGTAAAAATTATCAATTTAAAAATTTTTAATTTCAGTTTTCCAGTTCTAATAAATGAAAATATTGGATCTTGTATTGAATGAACAATCAGATTCCTTTATCAGGCTATTGAAGACTAATTAAATATTGAGTAATTTGGCTATAGATAGGCAGTTAAGCCATCATTTTTGATAAATTTAATAAATATAAATAAATTAATTTAATTTAGAATATTCTGAAAGAAAAAATTGTCCTGGATTTGGATTTGAACCCCCAACTTCTGCTTTCTGTGCAGATACATTGCCAGTTATACTAGCAGACTTCTGTCTGATCTTTGCGTCTAGACCAATTAATTAATTTAGATATAACCATACTGGATGTATATTATTAAATCTTTTATGGTTTACAAGTTTATTTCTTAAATACAACTCTTCTAGTACAAGAAATATTCAGAAACAAAATTATATTTCAGATGAAAAAAAAAATTATTTTTTGTCATTGAAAAAAGTCTTTTCAGTTTATATAATAATCATTTCAGTTATCATCTATTATAGGTTGTATTTTAAATTTATACGTTGTATTTGTTGTGGGGGTTTTAGATATAATTTTTTAGTAAAATTAAAAATGTTACAGTTAAAAGTGTTCAATAAATTTTTTAATTTAACATTTTTATATTTTGTTTAGGCATTCAAGGTTTGGAGGAACTTTTGAAGTAAAAAATATGAAATCTGTTAGTGATAATAATATGTTATATCATCATAAATTGCAAAACATTACTAGCTTAACATATAATCAAAAAGAAAAGAAACGTAAACCAAAAAGAAATGTACCTATGCAGCATGTAGAGGTTAAAAGAAAATCTGCATTAACAGTTCGTTTATGTCTTCGTGATTTTTGTAAAGAATTTTTAGACACTGCTTATAATTTATTTATGAAACTTATTAAGGTAAGTAATCTTTTAAATATTTTTTAAAACTAGTGTTATAATGATGTTTTTGAGTTTACTTAAATATTTGCAGAAAAATTTTAGCTATAAATAAATAATTTTTATTTTTAGTTATTTTACTATAATTTAATTCTGAACTACAGATATTTAAAATACAAGGTCTTCAAAAAAGAATGTTACTGTTTTAAATTATTGTAATTATGTTAATTATTATTTGAGAATGTTGTAATGTACATTAAAATGCTGGAAAACTTTCCAAGTTTCACATTTGCCCATTACAGTTTCTCAATGTTTGCACCTCATGTCAATACTTAAATTTTTCCTATGATCACTACATCATATCTATTGTTACTCATCCCAGCAGTGACAATTCTACAGCTCCTGCAGATTACTCATGTTGCACAATGATGAGTGATTCTGGCTTTGCAAAATTGTAGAACACAAAATACCTTTTCTATAGTATAGGGTTTATACAAAAACAGATTTTTTAAAAAAACTGGTTTTCAAATCTCAAGTTTTCTACATAACCAGTTTTCAAATTTTTGCCCAGAAATAATGGAGATAAGGAATATTTACAGTTTATTTATAAGTTTATAATTTATTTAATATTTATAACATTACAAAAATATAACAAAATAAAATCGACAAATGTCTACACAAAACAAAACAAAAACAAATGCTAGAATATCACATTAAACTATAAAATTTGCTCCATAGAAAACCATAAAGAAAAACAAATAACAATGAATGCCTACAAAATATTATTTTATTTCTTATTTTTCCTAAGAACATATGATTTTAGAAAGCAAAGAATGTCTATACATCTGTTGCTCAACTGTGTCCTTATTTTGCATGCCAAAGTGCCAGAAATAGAAAAAACTTTTTCACTTGCTACTGAGCTGGGGTTAATTAATCATTTTTAAAGCATTAAATAATAAATCTAAATTTTTCGTTCTTTTGTTTGTACTCCCTAATACTAAAAACTTCTTCTTTAGTGTCTTAGGGCTGGACGAAGTCATTTTTTCAAGTTGAAGACATTTATGTAATCGATCTCATGTGACCTGATTTTGAGGGGTTATAACTCACAAAGGGTCGCTTGTGGAGGTTTGATTCCTTGTTAAATTGTACTAACTTTAGTTTTGTGTATTGCTGTATGTATTTCATTTTCTAATATCTTGTATTAATCTGTTGTATTAGCTTATTATCACAGTAACTTTAGCTTTATGTAACCCCCTTCTAATGGACTAAGGTTCAAAAAATAAAGAATTGAATTGAATTAAAATAAAGAACTGAGTCATAAAAATTCTTAAAAATAATAAGTTTTAGGAATCTATACTTTCAGTTATTTATGCTGCTACAAATGTCTTTGTCTATACTATTAAATGCTTAGCAAACATTTTTAATAGCATATATTTTTTTGTGGATTGATTATATGAGTTTTATGAAGTTAGGAGTAAAATATTAAAAGTTAAAAATATTTTTTTAAGAAGTAATTTTATATTAAAGTGCAGATATAGTCAAACCTTAATTTAGTGCAACCATTTTGTTCACCTCTGAAATTGGCACTAAATTGGATGATAATTTGTTAGGGAATACTAAACTAAAGCAAGTGTCAATATCACAAACTGTGTATGAACTGACAACACCCATGCAAGATCACTCAAAACAAGAAGAGACCTGTTGTTCAGTTGCCCGCCAAGTTATGAATGTGTGAAAAATGCATGTATAGTCTTAGATTAGAATAAAGTTTAATTCTAAGTTAAAGGACTGCCCATCATTGTTCTAACAGAATTACAAATAGTAATGCATTTCTATATACCAATTTGAGTTTAAGAATTTGGCAGTTGTAATATGATAAAACAGTCATGAGTTATGATAGTAAAAATACTATAGAAACACAATCTATTACACTATTAATTTTAAATTGAATTTTACATTATTGAAATAATACAATATTGCAAAAAGAAAAATTAAATAAATTGATGAATTGCACAACAAATCTTTATCTTCATCCAAACTAATAAAAATTTTTGAAAACTATATGATATATGACCGCTCGACATTTGAAGTTACAACGGTTGTCCCATAAAGCATTTATAGTAGTAGTAATGGCAAACATATGACACAAATGGTTGAAACAAAACAAATATGCTGCCAATTGTATAACTGTACATGTAGCTTCATTTGCTATATAATATTTTATGATACCTTATCTTACAGTATCATATTTTTGTAAAGATCATGTGACCTCTGTTTTACCATTGACATTGTGAGTTTTTTCTATTTACTGTATTAGACTTATGACCAAATGGACTTGTTGAATTTGTTATGGACTCTGGCCTTGATGGATCAGACTTTCAGAACAGAGGTCTGTGCCCATCAAAATATATCTGTAAATAGTTTTCATGTTCTCCTTGAAAACAGTGTTTATGTGCTTATTGAGCTATCAAACTGTAATGTATTATATTTAAAAAAATAATTGTTTCCATTTTACTATCTGTCATATTTTATGAATGCTTCACTCACATGTATCTGCTTATAATCAAACAATAGTTATGTAAATACTCACTATGCATTAATTTTATTAAAGGTAAAGTATTTGTTTATAATACTAATAGTTTCTAAATACTAAGATTCAGTTCAACAACTGTTTGTCTCCATGATACAGCAATTATTCAGAATTTATTGTTTATTTTATCGAGTATTCTGCTCAGTAGCTGCAATTGCTTGGACATATGCATTCTAAATCATTCATTTATAGGTGGATTTGAATCACAGACATATTGATTTATATTTATTTCAATTGGTTTTGTCTTTGTCCAAAAACTTAATTCACACTTTGATGCAGATGACATATTCTGTAAAATATATTTATCCAAAATCTTCTGCTGGTGCCACTTAAAACAACAAAGATAGAAAGATAGACAGAATTATTGTTACATTGGATCTTACATATTTTAAATAATTTAGGTTATTTTTATATTTTGGACATAACATTAATCTATTGATATTAATAGCAAAGTTGTCCTTCTTAACAGAGGAGGGTGAGTAATGAATGATTTAAGATAATGGACACCATTTTCTTACCTTAAACAAAAATGATATATATTATACAATTTATTAGAAAATAATTGCTATAAAAAAATGCAATTTGTTGTGATGATTAGCTATATTGTCAATCTGACTATTTATACATTACTGATAATTTACAACTTCTACAATATAAAATCACTTTAGGTTGGCTGGATGGCCAAGGGATTAAGGTGGGAGCCAGCTGCTCTGGAGGATCTAGGATGAAATCCAAAATGGTCAAAAACCCCAAGAATTTTTTTGGGGTAGTCCACTTGGCCACCTCATTGTGGGCTGGCCAAACTCATAATGAGCTTGCTAATAAAGGCTCTCTTAGTGCTTACATGGCAGAGAGAATTTGAAAAAAAAAATAAAAAAAAAAAAATATATCTATCANTATATATATAACATATAACATTGTATATATATATATATATTTAAAACAAAATTTTGTTATAAAAAGTATGTTTAGTTTGTAATTTTTGCAATAAATTTAAACTTTAATCAAACCTTGTTTCTCTAACCAGGAATATTTAATGGGAAATCAGATTCAAGCTAACGATGAAACATATTATTTTTGGGCAATTAAATTTTTTATGGAGTTTAACCGTTTGTCTGGCTCAGCAATGAGTTTAATAACAGAAACAATGTCAATCCAATCATTTCATTATTTGCAAACACAAATAGAATATTATTATGAAATGACAATTAATGATAAGAAAAAGATTGTCCAATGGTCAAAACGGTAAGTTTTTAAGCAACTTTTCATTTTATTAATATACTGTATATTGAAATATAAGAATAATACTTTTAATTTAGTATTATAACTTATGAAACAAAAATTGATATTTATAATATTTCTTATCATTTATGAATAATATAATATGCAATATACATAGCAAAACAAATTTAAATGCAAATTTAACTTTAGTAAATAAATATGTTCACAAATGCTTTCATTCTTATCTTCAACAGAAACATTTTTCATTTTTTCACTTGAAGATTTGGGGAGGGAAATGTTTGAATAGGATTAGATTCAGCTAATTGACTCAGAAAATTACTAATACTTTTATTATTGTGATGAAAGAATCTTTTAGAATCAGATATATATATTTTTTAATTATTCAGTTTATACTATGCGATGAGAACAGAAACGAAGGGAACAAATTAATGTATCTTAGTATTTTCTTACTCAAAATTTAAAATTTTTTTTCAAATGCTGATACAAATTTCATTGTTTGTCCCTGCTCCACCATCCCAATATCTTGTTTAATTTCTTTGAAATTGTTCAAATATTCTTGGTGAGAGGTCATATGACTTGTTACTGAGCCAAGCATTCATTCAATTGGTTATGCTTGTATATTATAATCAATGTCATTTTCATCATCATTGATGTCTTCATACATCAAAGCTGCTATTTCAGTTTTGTTTTTCTCCTGTCTTTCATTTTGATTATGCTTACTAGAGCACAGTGTAATTGCTCCTTTGTTGTCAGCATGTTTGGGACAGTTTGATGAAATATGCTCAAAATCTTGGCAATTAAAACATTTTATTCTCAAGAGGCATTCCTTGGATGTGTGATTGCTACTGTCACAGTTATTACATTGTTTCCTTGGGTCAGCCATTTTTCTTCTACCCATTACTTTATAGGCAGTTTCTTCATTTGTCTTAAATTGACACAAAAGATAACAACTAAACAAGTAAACTGGAACTATATATGCAAAGAATCACACCTAAATGCAGAATTTCCAGCAAAGAAACACCGAAATTCAGTATTTAAACGTTTTCAGCCACTACTTTATCGACCCTCTTCAGGAAATATAAAACAGAATAACTATTTTATACATAGAATGTAACTGTGTTCTAATTTCAAAAGTTTCAAATCAGTTTGAACAATAGCTGTGACGTGTCATATATAATATATATATTTTTTAGCAGTGTAAATAATATTTCTATGCATTTGGTACAGGAATGTAATCTGTGTTGATGCATGCTCCACTCCTGTCAACTCTGTAGATTTCTATGGCTTCCAATGATCTTATGTGCTGATGGTCAAATATCCTGTGTATCTAGAACAGTTATTCTGTTTTACATTTCCTGAATAGGGCCGATAAAGTAGTAGCTGAAAACGTTCGAATACTGAATTTGGATGTTTCTGAATTGGATGTGTTTAGATGTGATTCTCTTAAATTGACTTTTGTTCTTCTTCTCTTCATCCTTTAATTTCTCTCTTAATTTTGTCATTGTCAAATAGATTTTATCTTTGAGTAACTTGACCATTAGATCAAATTCAGGTCTTACATTTTTCAACACAAAGTGAATCATTTCATGTTCTTTGATATTCTTGCCTACCATAAGGCATTTGATTTAGATGACTTCAGCTCTATTCAGATACACCTGAACATTCTCACATGAGCCCATTTTTATGGAAGTCATCTCACTCAAATATTTCATTTAAAGTTCTCTGCTCCATGGTGCATGGTCATTTCTCAATTTATCTCACAGTCTTCTTGCTGATGTTTCAATGTTGTAATGGAGGACTAGAGATCCAGTCATGGAATTATTCATGAATCTTATTGCTGTGTAATTGCATCTTCCCAGTCTTTGTATATTTTTTTAATTTATTGTCTTTTTCTGCATCAATTTCTCCTGGGTTACACGGTTCATCTACTTCTATGATATTGCTCCATAATTTATATCAATATAAAGTGTTTATGAAAGTATATTTTCTGATTTTAAATTTAAACTTAGAATGCATTTAGCCTTGAAAGCATATCAAGAATTGTTGTTGACATTATATGCCATGGATGAAAGTTCTGACAGAGAAATTATTGAAAGTGCCAAAATTATAAAAGGTAAATTAATGTTTAAAAATTTGATACAGTTTTTATTTTTTTGTTTTCAGAATAAAAGTATATCAACTTTTATTTTATTGCTTATCTGAAAACTTATGAATTTAGAGTTTACTGTTGAATTTTATGTATCTTTTTTCAGCATCTTTTATATAATTAAAAAATGTATATTGTATTTCCATATGCTTAATTAATACGATTAATCACTGCTCATTAATCATTTTAACTTCATATAAAATTTTATTTTTCTTTTCTATAAAAATGTTTATAATAATAAATTATTTCATCTATTTGCATTTATAAGTGAAAAATTTTCAAAATAATAAATTTTTATGTAATTTAATTCAAAATATAAACACAAAACATAACAATATTGCTGAAAAAACATAAATTAACTACAGCTGCTCTATATCAATAGATTAAATAAATCTATATAGTAAAATTTAATGGTGAATCCAGAAGTACCTAAAGATAAGCCAACTCAAAAATTTTAAATATTTTAATAATTAATAAATACCTTTTTATTATGTTCAAAATGATTGTATTACAGCTAGCAAATAAAGTTTACTGGACTATCATAAATGTTTTTAAAAATGTTCTTAAGTCCAAACAAATAAATTTTATTTTATTATGTTTTTTGTTTTTCTCGTGTCAATGAGGAGAGCTTAAGTCCCTTGAATGTCACTGGTAGTAATGAAAATAAGCATTTTATCATCTTAATTTGCTCTGTTTTCATTGGTAATACTCACGTACATTGGGTATCATATAAAATTATTAAAAATAACTTATATTTTTAATAATTTATAATATCTATGTATATCACATTTCTCAAATTAAATTGCATAAATGCAATTATTGAGAAATTGATATACATAGATAAAAACTGGTTGAAAATTGTCTGAATTTCAGAGACTAATAAATGTATATACTGGTTATAGTATATTTTTTTCAGCAATATTGTTATATTTATTGCTTATATTTTTAATTTAAATTACATGAAAATTTCTTATTTTGAGAATTTTTCACTTAGAAATGCAAATAGATGAAATAATTTATTATTATAAACACTATATAAAATTTTATTTTTTTTTAATGATGAAAATATTAAAATAGCAATAATTAATGATTTTTAAATAAAATCATTCTTATACTTTAGGAAATATATTTTATGTGATGGAATATAGAGAACTTTTAATTTCACTTTTAATGAACTATGATGAAGTAAAATTTTCACAGTAAGTGTTGTAGTTATTTATTTTGACTTCAGAATTTTGAGAATTGTGAAATGACCAAGTTTAAAATAATTTGTTTAATGTATGTGAATTTTTGAGGACTTCCAAATGATAATACAATGGAACCTTTGTTTATATGGCTCAAACAGCACTGGGTCCAATCCGGATAACCAAAAATCCACATAATCTGCAAAAATTTTGTTAACAACATAAATAACACAATTTAGATGTACATTATATTTTATTTATTTCACATTATATATAATTTTACAACAATATTAACAGTATAAAGCAAAAGACATATCTACATACATCTTTCAGCTGGTACAGTACATGTACCAGTACATAAGTTTCCTGACCATTTGTGTGGGGTAGAACTTCTCTTTATGACCTTTTTCAAGGTCAACTTGTAATTAGGCTTAGCACTTTATGGGGAAACCAAAGGACTAATTTGGACCAAAGTAATGGTGATATACTATACTGTATTTATTTTTGTTACTTGGTTATACAGTCACAGGTGTTCAAAAGTCAAACGTGGCATTGAGCCAAGGGAAAACATTATTCTTTCATCTGCAACATTACACTCAGGCAAGAATGTACTACTTACAAGTTAGTTCTTTGATTTTTTATGTACATGGGAATTCTTTATGTCTATCATTCTTATTCTGAAAAAAACCGGAGATCCAGATAAATGGGTTTCCACTGTAGGCCTCTGAGAGCTCTCAGAACTTATTATCATTGAAGTCCTCATTATCATTTAATATAAATAGAATATAGTTTGGAAAAAGTTATTTAAAAAATCTTTTTAATTAACATTTTTTGATTATGCAATTATTTATATTTATTATTTGTTTATTTTTGCTGCATAAAGTATTAATTTCTAAAAGTATTTTTATTTATTTAAAATTTTTTTAGAAATTATTTAAAAGATTTAATTGAAACAACTCATGTTTTTATGAAAATGCTTGAAAAATTTTGTAAAAGACAGTCTCACCTCATTGTTCAACAAAAGAAGGTGAAAAGAAAAAAAAAAAACAAACGTAAGATAATTTTCCATATATTTTAATTATTAATTTTGAAATTTTTTAATTACAAGGGACTAAAATATTTTAACATTACATTAAAATAATTTAATTCTCTTATCTTTTATATTTTTATAAAATTAAGGATATTAGGTTGCATTTATTTAACAAGTTTTTGTACATTTTTCTCATTACTATTGATACTTCCTTTCAGAAAATTCAGGAAATTGCTAAAATTTAGGCTAAAGCCTTTATTTGATGCTAATAAAGTTTGAAATATTTTAAATTAACTAAGGAAAGAGAAGAAATATTTATATTTTGCATTTCCTTTCTTGTTTGGATACCAGCTATAATTCAATCAGAAAATTCTTGGGAATTCCATAATCCTGCATCTGAAGCTATATAAGAACACTACTGGTAATTCAACAATCCAAAACTCTGATTTAATTATGTTTATTTTGGTTGATTATATGTGGACGTAGGTAATCAACCAAAATAAACATAACTAAATCATAGTTTTGGATTGTTGAATTACCAGTAGCATTCCTATATACCTGCAGATGCAAGATTATGGATAGAGTGCATATTATGGTATTTGATCTTGTTTCCTTATACCCCTTGGTAAAGCTACAGCTGTGTTTCTGTGCTTTTAGGGATCTTTTACTATGGAGAGTTGATGCACATGCTCACAAAAACAGATCTTAGAACTCACACACCTAATGTGTTATACTTTGGTATTCTAATTTAATAGTAGCATGTATTTACAGAAACAGGGAGTTCCCATGGGCAGCCGGACAATTGGAGGAAAAAGTCATACTTGAATTCATATTGAACGTTGTTGTATACAAGAGATACATTGACAACCTGTTTGTTCTCTGGAAAACTGAGCCAGATGTAAACGGTTTCTTACAATGCATGAATGATAACCCATATGATCTAACTGTTAAATTAGATCAGATAAGTAGTACCAGTGCTCATTTCTTAGATATTAACATTTGTTTCAACAAGAGCTGCGTAGAAACAGGCATCTATTACAAACCTGGCTACTTACCATTATTTATTCTGGCAAACTTGGCCAGTCCTTTTTCATATAAAGTGGCTGCCTTCCGTGATAGGCCTATACACACCATACTAATTGGGAAGACACTTTAATAGAACTAAAGCAACTGGAGGACATAGTTATAAAACAAGGTTATAGAAGGGACCTAATATATAATTTAGCCTGCACCTACTTCAGCCAACAAGCCATGCACAATAACTCCCACACCCAAGGAGTTTCTAACAGAGGTCAATCATGCAACCCTAACTCTGGGTGCACAATGATAGAATATAACCAGTATTTACATATCTTGTATTAAGAAATTGCTGACAAAACAGGTACCAAGCTCACATACAAGAGAGTTCCCATGATGTATAAGTTATTATTCAATGGAAAGGACAATGCATGATATGCAGGCCAATCTCCAAAATGCCACATTAATAAGGCAATCATTTCAAACAGATCACATTAGGGCCCTAGAAGCCTTGGAAATATACAAGGCCGACCTGACTGGAAAATGTATTAACTTTAAGGACGGAAAAACAGTTTTGTATGCATGGCAATGCTTCACGATAAACCAGGGAGTGCCAACATAACATAACAGAATATTTTCTAACCACTTTTTAATCTTATTTCATGTGCCAGCTAACTATTATTTATATCTATTTGCTACAAATATGCTCATACTTTGTATTAAATGAAGGATACATTTTACAGAATTAATAATACAATAAGCAGAGAGGATGCTGACGGGATGCAGTTAATAATACAACAGAATCATATGTACAATAGATGGTTTGTAAAGCACACTGAATGTCAAGAAGTGTAATATTTATAGTACGGCATGCAGACTGTATATGTTGTACAAAGTAACTATTTGTTGACTATTGTTTGGTGTTCAGGAAGCAATGTTTTAAGCATTTTAATACTAATGTAATAATTTGTTACTTATACTGTGTATAGCCATTTTATTATGTTTTAATTATGTTTTAGGAAACTGTTTGGAAATTCTGAATTGACATTATATTTTCCCATTTAAAATAATGAGAAATAGACTCCCAGTTGGCATTTTTGTACAGAACCTCTGATTTTCAAGGTTGATTACTGACATAAAACAGGGAATGCTTGTACTAATTATTTAAGACTGACTGTTTTACTGTTTTTTTTATGTAATTATTCCTGTGTATTATTTTTATGTAATTATTCCTTATGTTTAAACAACACTTTTAGGTGCATCCTTTTTTGGTGAGAAAATGTTACTCATTGTGTGTTGACACATGTTTCCATTTATTTTATTTGAAGTGGCATGTTAGATGCCAGATCATGCATCAGATCAGTTGTCTTGTCACTTTGGTGTGTGCTGCAGCTAAAATAAAGCCCAAATAATTTTTTCTGAATCATTTGTACTGTATATAAACATGCATTTATATGTTTACTAATAAGAAATTTGCCAATGCTAAACTAATTAAAAGAATCCAAGTTTTTATTGGATTAAATATTTTTCGGAAATCCTCCATCTCATCTTTAGACCCTAGAATATTTGAATCAGAAAATTCCAATTCTGGTTCAATGTATGTTTTGTTTTATTTCTGATAACTGTTTTAAAATCTGATGATGGGATGGAGGAGTCTTGAAAAACGTTTATTCCAATAAAAACTTTGACTCTTTAATCAGTTTAGCATTGGTATATTTTTTCTTAATGTTTTCATGGAGTCAACATATTCTGAAATTAGTCGTAATATGTTTGTTTAGAAATTCATTTAATTTGTATATAAGATATTTATAGAATATAAATTATGTTCATTACATTGTATTATTATAAAATAAGCTTATATATAAATGTATTATTAATATATATTAATTTCTTTCTTGAATAGCCAAAAAGACTTTAAATAATGAAAATAAGGAAGATTATGAAAAATTATGGTCAGATTTATCAGAAAACTTATCTACAGCTTTGCAAGAAAAAATAGAGGAAGCAGAAAGCAATACATCTATTTTTGATCCTGTTTCTGATCATACAATAGATCAACAAAGGTAAAAATCGTGCAATTATTTTAATGAATTTTTTGAATATAAATTAATTATTTTTCAATTTAAGTTGTAATCATATTTTAAATCAATCAGACATTGTCTTGACCTATTAAGTTTGTCTGTTCCAAATTTATTTATTTAGAATATTTTTGTATCCTGATGATGGTTGCTTAAGGCAATTGAAGACATTTGTTTTGCATTTAATTTACATTTTAAAAGCTGCAATGTTGGTGTTTGGTGACTGTTTTATATTATAATCCAATTTCTAAGCTGTTTTATTCAAAGTTTTTAGTGTAACACAATGATTCCTCTGGAAATTCAAAAAATTTCACCAGTTATATTTTCATTTTTGGTTTTATATTGCTACATTACAAGCTATCCATTATTTAATGTGAATGGCTGACATTCACAGGAACACCTTATACCAGGGGTTGCCAAAGTGATTGATATCAACCCCTGGGATCGATATAACATTATTGGGAGGTTGATTGAAAAACAAAACAAAAAATCACAAATATAACTACAGTAGATCCCCCTATAACGCGGTAGATACGTTCCATGTTATACGAATTTCGCGTTGTAGGAATCCTTAAATACATGAGCCAATCACAGCCCGACACGTGTGAAGTTTAGGGACTATGGCTGTTTGAAAGGTTTTCTTCCATAAAATTAATCGATTCTTGACTAATTTGACTCAACATTTTCAAAACACGTATAATTTTTTGGGAATAATCCGTATAAACTATGCTATAAACAAAAAATTGTAGGATTACTTACCAAGTGTGCACCGTTCAACGTTGCCATTGCTTAAGCTTGTTTTGTCGTGGAGCAGTGCATCAAACGGCAGCCGTGATTTCTGATGAGTTATTTCTCTGTGAAAAATTCGTTGAACTTTGGAGACATCATTAATAGAAATAATTTTTATGGCCGTTGAATAAGAAATGTTTCTTTCACAAGAAGTGTATAAAATTAGTGCTGTATTAGACTTACGGTACCTAATTTACATACTGTGCAGACGATAGTAAACTCAACTTACTCGCCTAAACTCTCTGTAGCGTGGCGCTGGACGGCGGAAAGTATACATAAAATTATAATAAAGTTACAATAAATTAAGTTAATATTGTACAGATGATAGTAAACTCAATTTACCCGTCTAAACTCTCTGTAGCATGTAAGTAGTTCGGCTGCTCGTCTACTATTGGTCCAGATTCGACCAATCCTGTCGCGACACGAGTCGGCGATGACGTTTTAATGCGTTTTACACATCCCTTTTAGTGTCTTTATACGAATACTGTTGCAATTTTTTTGCCGCGTTATAGGAACCTGCGTTATAGGGGGTCTACTGTATACATATTATTATGTTTTTGAATATTGTTTCAATGAATTTAATAGTACAGCTACCAGCCAACATGTAAAATGGATATGGATCAGGTTGCACATAAAAGACAGAAATTGCAGAGTTTGTGCTCTGGTTCTTACTTACATAGTACACGTCAAACATTCGCAACATTTGTAAGCTTGTATCGGATTTGCTGTACACTGACATTATTGCACCTCTATAGCCATTTTTAAGCCGCTGTTCATTTAATTTTAGTATTTCACATATATACAATAAATGTAATAAATGTAAAATTAAAAGAAATAAAAGAAATGTATTAAAATAGTAAGAAATTTTTTTTGTTTGTAACACACACTTTTTGGTGGGGTCAATGTGAGGTTTTGGAAAGTTGTAGTGGGTCAATGATCAAAAAAGTATGGCGACCCCCTGCCTTACACAGATGAATCTGTGAGAAATTTTTTACCTTTGTGTTTATTACAGTAATTTTCTTTTTATAATAGGAATGCTTGAAACTTTTCACTAGAAAATAGACACTTTTGCCTATCTTATTAGCACAAATTTCATAATTTACTGTTTTTATTACTATTTGTCTATGAAACTGATTATGAAAATTAGTTGTATTCAATTACGTTTTTTTTATATATTACTTTAATAAAAATTCAAAAACATTTTATTTATATTTTGAAAATAAAATATTGTCCATAAACATATTATTAAAGAAAATAACTTATTTTCACAAACTCGGCCACCCTTCAGTCCACATTAGGCCGAGTTTTCGAGGCTTCACTGTACTATCATTTACCATAATTTAGTCAAAATCACTCACAATGTTATAAAAATCTTTATGAAATAACATTCTTTGTTTTCTAAATTAGAAAAGGGAAGAAAACATCAAAAATTGAGTATCTTCCATGAAATTTTAATAGAATTAGAAATATGCAATTGTGTTATGTTAGTCAGTTGATATATATAAAAAAATTTCAGTTTTTCCATTAACATAAAAATAACAAGCCTAGACATGAAAAGATATTCCATTTATTCCATTTTTTCCTGTTTTTAGAAGTCATGAAGATTGGTATTTGGAGATGAATAACATTTGACTATAATAATAGTAATAATAAATAATATTGACTGGTTGGTGGCTCGTAGGAGCGCGGCAGTCACCTTCGGGTTTCAGGCCCGAAGGATGTGGGTTCGATCCTATGTATGGGATTTCATATATAATAGGGGGGGGCGCTGTTGAGTAACCTCGGCTGCTGGTGACTTTTTGTTGGAGATTTTGTTAACACTTTTTTTATTGTAAATTACTGGGTTTTTTTATTTATTTGCTACCTAAGTTGGTGCATTTTTTTGCTCAATTGTGTTATTCTGTGTCATTAGTTCTATTTTTTTTGGATATGTTCCCACGTACTCCTCCAGAAGCGTTAAAGCAAACCCATGAAGAACGGAAGGGAACTAAACATCATCGTTCACCGAGTGATCCTGGTGTAAAATATCCAAAGTTAGAACATTATTTTAAGAGGCAATCTCCTTCGGACTCAGATAGAGAAGAATTGTTAACTTTACGGCAATATTTGGAGACGACTTTAAATGCAGTAATGATGCAGTTGAAGTGTATCGAAGATAGACTCGCTAGTCTGGAAATGGCCAACCAGTCAACCTTGTCCTCGGTAAGGAAACTGGAAACTGACTTTTCTAAAGTGTGTTCGCGATTAGATAAACTGGAACAGCAACAGCAGTTACCTTTGGATGACATTGGTGAGTTACACTCCTTTGCCTACGATAGACAAGTTAATGCTTCAAACAGAAGCAATCTAATGTTGTTTAATCATAGTATTCCGCTCGAGTTGGATTTGCGGGATTATATTGTTAACCTACTTTCTAAGGAATTGGATGTGACTGATCTGTCGGGGCATAATATTGTCGGTGTTTCCCGTTTGCGAGGTAAAGCTCGGGAATTCTATTGCATACAGTTGTCATCCTGGAAATGTCGAAATCATTTATTGCAAAAATTTCGGACGAGAACTTTTCAAGAGGGTAGGGAAAGATCGGTGAAATTTAGGTTGGCACCGGATCTGTCATTTAATTCCCGTGTTCGCCGTAAAAATCTGGTTACTTTTTTAAAAGAATACCGGGAAGCTGGTCGTCGTGTTTTTTTGCGAGATGACGTATTATATGTAGACGACAAGAGATTCACGTATTCTATCTCGGGCCATCGTTTAATAGAGGTGCCTGTTTCTTTTTTATTTTGAATTTTCCTCCCTGTAGGAGAATAGGTTTGGAGAGACTTTCAACTTCGTGCCCGGACCAGTTTGGCTCAGGTAGTTATTCGGAATCTTTGTTTTTTTGGAATTGTTGTGGGTTTAGTACCAAGTGTTCTCTGTTGGATTACATGACTAAACGACCTGATTTGATTTGTTTAGCCCTTGTTGAAACTTGGATGGTAACAGTGGATGGAGATTTTCTGGCTAACTTTCTTCCAGATAACTGGAAGTATTTTATGATTCCAGCAGAAAAACCATTGGGGCCGGGTAGACCCCATGGTGGTATTTTGTTCTTTTTTGATAAAGTTAGAGGGCACTTTGAGTTATTGGAAACATACCCTGATTTGATGGTGATTGGTTTATCACAGTATTCGGCTCTTGAACCTAGGAATATCCTGGTGTTAGTGGTATATGCTGGTTCGCTGAGGCAGCACGGTTTACGTTTAGATTTGTTTTCTTCTATTTTGAACTCTTGGTCTTCGTGCTACAATGGAATTGTGATAATGGGCGATTTTAACGTCCATATTGGTGAAGTAATTGATTCACATTTGGATGTAGCCTCTCCCCACATTTTTGATGTCAGACGGTCAAAGGATTCAAAGGTTGACACGGCCGGGAGACAGTTTCTGAATTGGTTGATTGAACACGATTTTATTCTCCTTAATGGTCGTACTAAGGGAGATTTCCCAGGTGAACTAACTTTTTTGTCAAAAGTGGGTAGCTCGGTAATAGACTTTATTGTCGTTTCTCAGAATCTGGTTCATAAGGTTGAATCCTTTCGAGTTGGGTCTCTCTCATCTTCGGACCATTTTCCAGTGGAATTACAGTTGTCGATCGGAAACAGATTTTCCTTTGTTGATGGGCTTTGCCCCACCAAGATTCGTTTTGTTTGGGATGATTCTAAAGTAGAATTGTTTGGTGAGGCCGTATCGCAGAGCTTCCGGAATTTAAACTTTGATTCTGTGCCTGTTGATGATTTCTATGGTATTATTTTGTCCGAGCTATGCTCTATAGCAAGAAGACTAAATGTGTTAATTGAAGGTGTTGAACCCTACAGGAGGATCCGTCCCCCTTGGTTTGATCGGTCATGTTACATTCAGAAGCGAGCGAGGAACATTGCCTTGGGCAAATTTCGCAGATCTAATAGTCAGGCTGATTTGGCTTCCTTTTTAAATTTGAAACGACAATATAATTCACTTATTAAGGCCAAAAAAAGGAGATTTTTTTGTAGTTATGCTTTACAGTTGGCTGGTATTAGAGACTCTAGGACTTTTTGGTATCGGGTAGGTCGTTTTCGTCGGGTCAGGCGTATACTAGACCATGAGATTTCCTTGACCGTTTGGTTTATTTATTATCAAAAGTTATTTAGTTTAAATATATTGAATTTACCTCCGATTCTG